AGTGGTGTAGTGGCAAGTGGCGCGCTTACCACGCGAGCGGTCCGGGGATCAAATCCTGGGTCGTGAGTCGCCCGGGCCAACCAAGCCTTCCATCCCTCCGGGGTCGGTTAATTGGTACCAGACTTGTCTGGGAGGATAAAAACACTGACTTGTACATCGGCTGGCCCCCGCAAGTCATTGTATAGGCCACATCGCATTCAAACGCCAACGCTTCATGCTTTATCCTTTTACTATACATTTGTGCAGCAACTACTGCGCTGTTGACTCACTGCACATTCCATGGGTTCAATTTCTGACTGGAACAGGCGATCTTTCCATCCTTCACTGCTAAGTGCTATTTGCACCCATTCCTCCTCCCTCCTCCTCCCTCACTTCACAACTTCGCGCCACATGTCTTCGCATGGGTCAATACCTACTTCTGATCTTCTGAAAACTCGGCGACTTCACTAAAGTCAGATGCGCGGCGCGACGCTAGTTTGTAGTAGACTCAGTAAAGGTCCAGCATTTTGCTGTTATGGTTTTTCACCTCGGATAGGTCCCACCTCATCCATTGTCTTCCAATAATAAAAGCATAGCGCAAGCTGCGCTGCTTATACTCACCTTGGATGTGCCGCACACTTGACTTCGATTCAAATTCATAGAGACGTTTGAGCGCATAGCTGGTCAGTTTAATGAGGTTTGGGAAGCAGCCGGTGTAGGAATTTTGTTCTCCTCCTCCCAGGCTGGTGCGGTTTTTGAAATGGAGAAAAGATTGGTGTTTTCGAGTGAGATCAGAGCGGACCTCATCCAGCGGTATGCCATGTGTAACTAAGTACACTTGCCTCTGTTCCATCTAAATGATACCTGATAAATGCGACAGTTGATAAGGGTGCACAAAATTCTAGGGCCGACCGATTCCTAGTCTGTTCTATTCCTTGGACAACAGCAGCGACTATGGAATTGATGACGTACTGGTAACTGAGAGGACTTATCACGTCAGTGGGTTATTTGAAACAAGTGCCCTCACCAATCAAACTGTCGTCTGTCGAGCTGTGAACAAGCACGAAGTTGTGAGCGTGAACAGGACTCTGATCATACGCAGTAAGTAATTGATTCGGTTTCATTTGTATTTTCCGCCTTTTGATTTCGTCTCATTTGATCATTCTCAAAATCCTCATATTCATCTCTAACTTTTTCCTATGCCGCTTCCTTTATTTAAGTTCAATAAAAAACAAGTGTTCAAGTGGCAAAAGTGGGTATTTTGGGATGGTTCTGTATGAATGTATGTATGTATTTCTTACAAAACTTCTATAAAAATAGAAGTGGGCGGAGCTTGCGCTGCAGTGGGCGGAACTTATACAGTGACATAAGTACAGTCATTGCTGAAAAACTGTCATACAAGTGGGTATTTTGGTATTGTAGTTGGCTTGAGACAGTGTGGCAGACGTATGGCACGCTCTGTAGGATTCTCTGTAGGGTAATCAAACCTTATGATTTTTTGAGGTCTTCCAACTGTTAAAGAATCTGTTCGAGATGCTAAAAAAAATTTGCTCTCGGATCGGGGTCATCGTCTTCGGTAATTCACCAACTATGGGATCGTATTTGGGTTTTTGGAATGGGTCGCTTCGTTTTTGGTTTTTGTTTGCTGCTGATTGTGACTTCGGGGGAACATGTTTGAGATTTTCAGAAATTGGTTTTGAGTATTGGGATCGTATTTTAGGTCTTTTTCAGAGGGTGACTTTTGAGATGGATTTTAGGAATCAGGCTACGGGAGAGGAGAGTCGCTTTTCGACTTTTAGCGATTTTGGTGAATAACTCCAAGAATCAAATATGAATTGGACAAAGAGTGGAGCGCTGCCGCTTGTAGACATATGTATAAAGAAGTACTATTTACCCATCCATCTCCTCTCTCCTCCCTCGGCATCCATTTTGAAAGGGAAGAATGGGCGGAGTTGGAGTGTGTCTGACGGTCTCAGAATCAGAGTGCCTGTGAAGCATCCAGCTATGGTTGGTAGGTGTAAGAGTTAGGGATGAGGTTGGGTATGTAAGTTATCCCACATTCCATGTGAGTGGATAGAGGGGTCCGTAAATTTACGATATTATCCTCAATTTGGCACTTGACCTCTGCTCTGGGCATATTTCTCCCGAATTTACTGTGCCATAGGATGAATGAACTATGGCAATGACCATTTCAGAGCCAGGAGATGTGCCAGCTAATGTCACATGGATGTTTGATGAGAACGACAGCCTCTTCATAAACTGGGATCCAGTACATTACCCTAACGGGAATGTGGTAATACTTCTACCGTTTTAAAGTCATTTCTTGCAGAATTGACCTTCTGCCGCTGCTTTCAGAGTTACATACTCTATCTATCTAATTTCGTCGATCGCGTCGCAGGACCCCCTGTTCGAATACCACAAGTGCCATATAATGTGAACGTTACCCTGCAAGTCTCTGCCGAAAACGAGTGGGGTGAAGGAGGAAGTCGGCTCCTATCACGTTCCTGACGCCACATGGAGGTATAAGTTCTATTTCTTGTGAATTTAATTGTAAATTTATCAAGAGTATACGAAAAGCATGTGTATTGATCGCCTCCGAGTGCACCCTTTAATGAACCTGGGGTCACTATGGATCCCCGTCTCCAATCTAAGCTAACAAAAGTTCTACCTAATTTGCAGCTCAGCGCGAGCAACCTAGAACCGCGAAGTTTTGGAGTAATCCGCGTTGGCATCGACCTGAGAATCACGATCTTCGCTTAGATTCACAAAATCTTTCAAGATTACCTCTCAAGACGGAGTTTACGACGAAAATGCAGCCCAAAAAATCAAGGCAGAGGTGGTCAGTGGTGCAGGGATCACGAAAAACTTTGAACAAACCTCAAAATAGAACCCTGTTTCCTTAATGTATTAGGTTGGAAAGAAAGTTCTGCGACACTCTTTCAAAATTTTCTTTTTTTCTGAAAAATTTATAGGTAACATTTATGACTAACAAATGGTAGAGCATTCTCGTGGCTTTCAATCCACGAGGTGGATATAAGTGCTGCAGTCAATAGTTATCCAAGAAAATTCAAAAAACCCCGACCACTAGTAAATCCACACTCCGAGTCACTGTCTAGTACAAATGTCTCCATAACTATGGATTCGTGTCAAAGACCAACACTATCTGCAATCGCTTCAATAGGCATGTCGTGCACCGCTACAGCGTGTTTCAGCTTTATCAGCGCTTTCGATCTTTTGATATTTTCATAAGGCCAGCAGCGTCCTACACACTCCATTACAGGAAGGGCTCCTACGGAAGCTCATTTACAAATTCTTCGTTATGGGCACCATTGTGTAGGTAGAGGTCTATGCTGCGGAACTCCAGAAGCTGGCCGAGGCAGCTCGTTCAGGAGCCCTCGTACCGCTATAATATTTATTTCTTTCATGACATTGCGAATCACTATAATCCGAAATGAACACTGTAGGAAATTCTGGACCTGCGGCAGGATTTCTTACCTCTGAGCGTATTTCCCTGGTCGAGCTATAAATGACTGCCACCTATCCTGGACCTTAAATCATCATCTTGATGACGAAATAATTAGACGATCAACTCCAACTCGAAAGTGAGGTCGCCTCCTTTCTCGACCCACACTCCGCTGGGTTTTGGCAAAGGAGCATCAAGAAATTTTTTGAGCGTTGAAGACAAGTGGTGGACACTCATGGTAGATACAAGACCGGTCAGGAGTTGTAAACAAAAAAGATAAAATTAAAAACAAAAATTTGAAAGAGTGTCGCAGAACTTTCTTGCCAACCTAATGATTTGCGCACCAGGCTGGTTTTATTGGTGCCGACCTCATCAACGCTCATGCTCTCTTTCTGCTAGAGCGATCAGAGCCCGACGGCGAGGAGTTAGCCAATCGGTGAGAGTTGCAATGGCGCCAGCGGGCCGAATATGGCCTGCTAGGCCGTCTGAAGTTGCATGCTATTCGCTGGGCGAAAATGCGCCAGAAGGACGCAATTTCCTGCAGAAAAACCCTGCCTGACTTTCGACCAGTTCCAATCCCTTTCTTTCCACCTTCTTCCACCTCACGAGCCTTTGTCTGGAGTTTATTTAAAGGCATGCCCCAGGATCACATTGGTGTGGCTCTTGTACACGAATGCGAATGTATTGGTGGGAAGTGGGCCGGCAGTAAAGAAAAAAGGAAAAGAATCCGTCAAAAACGCTTAGGTTAAGGGCTCACTCACCTTCCTGATCGGCTGTGCTAAGGGAATGAGAGACTAAGCGCGGAGAGGAGAGTATGAGGCGAGAGAGCACTACAGATGAGAGAGCGCCAGACAACAGCCTGATAAGAAAAAAAAGTCTGCAGCTTGGGCAGCTTACTTTGCAAGGCCTAAGCGCTCTTATCGGTCGGTTTCCGTGCACGAGGACGCCACATCTGTGATTGTCCTCTAGGGTTCTATACTACAGACCGAAGAGAAGCGTTCACACGAACTCTGCCTGGGTTGTGCCTTTAAAGCACGAGTCAGGATTAGGCAACCAGCAGAAGTTCTTCCCAGGGTGCGATAGTGGGCTCCCCAAGCACTGAGGGCGCGACACACTATCGCGACCCAAAAGTGCGCGGCAATGGCGCTAAGGCCTTGCCCGCCGCGCTGCCCGCGCTGCCAGCGTAATCCAACACGGCATACGTGGTCTCTGCGTCCTCTCGCGTACGACGTACTATCTCGCGTTCTCCCTCTCCTCGCAGCGCTGTGTCTCTCCGTCGTACTACGGCCGGCCTCCTAAGGGAAATTTAGTGTTTTCTATGGTGCTTTTTGCTTTTTCTCCTCACTAATGTTCCTCATTGCACCCCTTGCCTAATGTGAACAAAATAACGCATCAATTCAATCCCGACTCGTGCCTGGTTAAACGGATGGAGAGAGCTTAGTAGAATGAACGTCGTGAGGAGTTAAATACCTTGTTAAGAGACCGGCGGAACTCGGAGTGCGGACTGCATGCGCAATTGCCCAACCGAAAATTTGGACTTCGACCTTAAGCACTTGTCATTCTTTGGCGCGCCGATCGGCGGGATTGCGTCCACACCGACTATCTAATCACTCGCCGCAGGTCTATACGTGGCGAGTGATTAGATAGCTGAGAGAGCGTAGTGTTGAAGAGGGCACAGCGATGAGAGTCGCATCAATGCTCAAATCAACGGGCAAGGAAGGGGTCCCATTTCTCGGGTTCTGGGCCGTTTCTCATGGTTCTTCCTTCTTTCGTGTACCACTCACCATCCCTAGGTTAATTTGAAATGGGTTGCTTTTTCATCGTGAATTCGTCCTTTAATGATATCGGTGTTTAAGGACCCAGAGATGCACCGTCAGTAACATCATTGCAAACCAAAGACATGAGAGTGACAGTTGCGTGGCTGCCACCGACGATGCGCGAAACGGCGTGAGACAAGGCAGGCAAGAAGAAACATAATCCTTAGCGAATACCTTGCGAAGCAGATATTTCAGGGGTACACAATCTACTTCAAAAACGTCGATGATGATGAAAATAAGCCGTGGGAATACGTGCAGGTGAATGGCAACAGAACTCGATTCAGTATCGATGAATCCATTGGACTACTACCGGACTACCACTATAAGCTGAAAATCTCGGCGACCAACGAACGACATGAAGGGCCAACATCGGAGGTACGGTAGTCGTTAAGAATTTCTAACGCTAACAGTATTATTGCTTCTGTGCCAAACAGGTTTTGGATAGTGGAATACTTATTAAGCCTAACGTTTCGACAAATTCGTCGTTATCTATATATTTATTCTACTGATTTCTCGAGATACGGACGGAATCTGAGCGGTCATCGGCGCTGGTGGAGTTGTGGCCTTTGATAATGACGAATTTGTCGAAACGTTAGGCTAAACAAATATTCCACCATCCAAAACCTGTTGGGCACAGAAGCAATAGTACTGTTCAAGAACAATGCCCAGGTTCAAGAAAGGCGGACACGGAGAATATCTAACGCTAACGTTTTACCAAAACGCCCCGCTTCAAAGACAAGGTCCGGGGTAAGACCACTGAAGTAATCTTTTTGTAGGTAGAACAGCTATTTGAACATCGGCGATGCGCCACTGACATCGTTTGAAAGAACGCGAGAAGGGCGCTAGGGTCTCAAAATGCTCCCGACTACCGGCCCTGACTGGTAGTTCTTTGGCCGCTTCTCTGTGACCTCTAGCACGGCGTGCTCTCTTGCGTGTTCTGTCTTCACTGCTCGCTCTGAATCTCCGTTGTACCAAATCCGACCTTATAGAGCATTTAGGCCCTTAATTCTAGTGTTTTCGGTGTTTTTCTTTGTTTTCTTTCTTCACTTCAATCCACTTCCCATCCTTATCTTCATTATTGAGCCTTCATACATACCACTTTTATTCCGGCGCTTCCCTTGAATATGCGAACTTCAGCGCACAGCCATCTCGACTCTACGCTGTGAGTCGCAGAAAAACTAGCGTACGCAGGTCATTGGCACCAGGATCAACCGTCCTTTGTGCAGATTTCAAACATTTCACGGCTCCCTTCCCCCTATCGGGGTCTTCGATACGACCCCCATCACCA